TAGCATTATGTTTTGAAATTTAGGTCTGGCATAGAATGTATGAATACTTCATTTTTTTTATTTTTTAAAAAATAGCAGGCAGATCTCTGTGAATTCAAGGCCAGCCTGGTCTACATAATGAGTTCCAGGACAGCTGGGGCTACAGGGAGACCCTATCTCAAAAAGACAAAAAAAAAAAAAAAGCATTTATTTTTTAAAAAATAAATCATTTATTTTAATTTTATTAAAATCAGTGTTTCACTCAAAAAGATAGATTACAAAATGTGTCATCCTAAACTGACCAACATAACGAAGTATAAATAAAATGTACTCCACTAGCATGCTGCGGTGTACACCCTCCCCAAGCTCTGGTCCTTGTCAAACATAGCTAAATGATTGTCCACTGTGTGATGATACTATTGGGTGAGAACTTTGATTCATGCAGTTGGCTGTTGCCAAGGGATTGCACCCAAAACCCACAGTGCCAGCACCCAGCATCCATCAGTGGTGGTGGCTCACTTGGTGTCAGTTGTGCTCTTTTATAGCCACAGGTGAATACTGTGGTCAGGCATGCTGGTGGCAAAGACCAAGCCCTTGTCATTAGCCTTTGAGTTACACATGGTTGTGAGCTGCCTAATGTGGGTGCTGGAACCAAACCCCAGCCCTCTGCAAGAACAAGTGCTTTTAACTCCTAAGCCATCTCTTCAACCCCGACAATTACGGTTTTAGAAAATAAGCTATTGAAGTCTTGAAATAACTATATTCTTTAAAGAGAAATCTAACATCCAAAAATTTGTCTCTGTAAATAACCTTTCAAAATCATTCATGACCTTTGATCAGTAACAGTACAGCATATTCTAACCTTGTAACAGCTTATCATTGAGGAAATCTCTGCCACATTTAGGTCTTTTGATATTGATAATTGGTTCAGGAAGAAGCTCGTTTAAAATAAAGGCACTTCTTGAATTTTAGCTTGAAAAAAACAAACTAAACTTGAGAAAACACTAGGTTATAATTATAAACATGCATTAATTGTTATAACAAATAGTGAATGAATCAAGTGTCAATGAATAGGCTTACTTTTTCTCACAGAATAGTTAGCAAAGCATCCTCCAGTATGACATTTGCAGCATTAGCATCAAGTTTTGCTTTCTCAAAAACTTTGATGAAAATATATATCAAGAGCCAAGTATGATGGCTCATGACTGTAATCAGCACTCAGAGCAGGGGCAGGAGAGCCAAGAGTTCAGGGCCATCTTGGGTTGCATAGTGAGACCCTGTATCAAAACACATCACAATAGCTATATATCTGTCTATCTGTGTATGTGTATATGTATATGTGTGTGTGTGTGTGTATATATATATACACATATATATACACACATATTCATATGATATATATTCCCTCCCCAAGGATTTCTGTTAATCTGTTCATAGCCATATTATTCTTAAGTTCCTCCAATGAAATAGCTTGTTTGCTTATTACTATAAATAAGTAGTAGATTCAGAAAGCTTAATATTCACAGACACAAACCCACTGTAGGAGTACTGTCCATCAGGTCCCTATTGTATTACTCTTGTGCGGCTTGAGAGCAAAGGAGATCTCAAATAATGTTGCGGTTTATGCTGCTTGCTGTGCTATGAATGATACGTTTTTTTGTTTCTGATCCAGGACACTTAGGTCCTTTGTCAGCATGCAAAGGGTTAACTTAGACTAACAGTTGATTCTGTAAGCAGGACAGGAATCTTAGACAAATCCAGTGAACTTTTATATATCTTTGCACTCATACCACCCTTACCCAGATTAAGGTACAGAAAATGTCCACCCTGAGACCCCTCTTAGGACCAGTCTAAGTCACTAAAGCACTACGTTAGTTTTGCCTATTTTTGAATGTCATGTAAATAAAATGATATGTCATCTTTTTTTCATTCTGAAATTCATCTATGTTTTATGTCTGTTTGTTGTTTTTCATTGCAGTAAAATATAATCATCGTATGAATTTTACTGTGATTTGGGACTCTTAGAAATAGTGGATACATACTTGTCTTTGGGGGAGGAGGATACTCTTTATGTCAAACGGGCCTAGGAATAGAATTGTTGGGCCAGAGGGATCAGTGTTTAGCATTAGTGGATACTGTCAAATACTTCCCAAGTGGCTGAGCTGATTTGTATTCTTATTAGTCATGTGTGAGAACTCCATTTGGTCTTTGTTGTCATGAACATTCAATCCTACCTCCCTCCTGTGTGGTATATTGAGTCTTTCAGGTACAAACCCTGTAATGGTATAACTGGGTCAAATGGTAGTTCAGTTTTTAGTTGTTTAGGAACCTCCAAACTGATTTTATAGTGATTGTACAGTTTACATTGCCATCTACAGTGAATAAGAGTTCCTCTTTTTCCTCATCCTTGCCAGCATTTGCTAATGTCTTGATGATAGCCATTCTGTCTGGAATGAGGTGGAATTTCAGAACAGTTTTAATTTGCATTTCCCTGATGGCTAAGGATGTCGAACACTTTTTTCAAATACTCATTGGCCATTTGTATTTCTTCTTTTGAAAACCACTTATTCAGGGCTAGAGAGATGGTTCAGTGCTTAAGAGCACTGGCTACTCTTGCAGAAGACCCCGGGTTGAATCCCAGCACCCACACGGCAGCCTGTCCTCCACAGGCATTACACAACATGGGTGCACTTACATACACGCAAGCATTACACTCATACACGTAAATTAAAAATAAACAAATCAAAAACCATTTGTTTATTTCATTAGCCCATTTACTGATTGGGTGTTTTTTTAGTGTTAAAGTTTTACAGTTCTTTATTCTGGATTATCAGTCCCCCTGTGTAGTTGATGAACATTTTCCCTCCTATTCTGCAGTCTTTCTCTTCACCGATTGTGACCTTTGCTTGTGCAGAGCCTTGTAGTTGGATGTTGTCTCATTTGTTAGTGATTGAAGTTATTTCTTGTGCTATTGGAGTCCTGTTCAGAAAGTCCTTGCCTGTACCTGTATCTTGAAGTGTTTTCCCTATGTTTTCCTCTAGCAGTTTTAAAGTTTCAGGCCTTGCATTAAGGTCTTTGATCCATTTTGAATTGATTTTTGTGCATGGTCAGAGATTTGGATCCAGCTTCATTCTTCTACATGTTAGTTTTCTCATACCATTTGATGATAAGCCTTTTTATAATAAATATGTTCATGACATCTTTATTGAAAAGTAAGCAGCTATAGTTGTATGGTTAATTTGTGGGTCTTGAATTCTAGTCCATTGTTTTTTGTGTCTGATTTTGTGCTAGTACCATACAGGTTTTGTTGTCACCGTGGTTTGGTAGTATAATTAGAGATCAGGTATCGTGATATTTCTAGCATTGCTTATCCTGCTTGGGTTGCTTTGGCTATGTGGAGTCTTTTGTATGTCCAAGTGAATTTTAGGGTTGGGTTTTTTCCTTCTGTGAAGAGTGTCGTCAGAATTTTTTATGGGGATTTTGTTGAGTGTGTACATTGCCTTGTATAGCATAGCATAGCCATTTTTGCGGTATTAATTCTGATACTCCATGAACACTTCTTCAGTTTCTTTCTTCGGTGTTCTAATAGTTTTATTTGTAGTTTTATTTTCTCCTCTTAGGTTAGGGTTAGTCCTCATTTTGTTCAAGATTTCTTTCACAGCAAGTTCGTTATTGTTATCTAGAAAAGCTACTGTTCTGTATGTTATTTTTATTTCATTTTATTTTATTTTTTTAAATCCTGCTACTTTGCTGAAGGTTTGTCAGATGTAAGAATTTTCCTGATGGAGCATTTAGAATCTCCTAAGTATAGGACTGTTGTCTGCAAATTGGGATAATTTGACTTCTTTACCGTTTGTATCCCTTTTATTTCTTTCTCATCTTACTGGTCTACCTAACACTGGGCATTGTTCTCAATAAGAACATTGAGAATGAGCGTCCTTATCTTGTTCCTGACTTTAGATGAAATGCTTTTAGTTTTCCTCCATTTAGTATAATGCTAGCTATAGGTTTGTCACTTTTATTATGTGGGGTAGGTTTGGGCTTTTATTGTGCAGTGATGTTGAACATTGGTCAAAGGCCTTTTCTGCAGCAGTTGAGATGATAGTGTGATTTTTTTTTACTTTAAGTCTGTTTGTGTGTTGTATCACATTTTACCTAATGACTTGTGTGTGGTGTTGAACCATGCATTCCTGGAATGAAACCAGGTTGGTCATGATGTATGATTTGAATGTGTTCCTGAATTAGTGTTAATAAGAATTTCATGGAGAATTTTTGTGTCTTGTGTTTAGGGAAGTTGGTCTATACAGTCTTCATTTTTTGCTATGCCTTTCTGGTTTTGATATCAAGGTAATGTTTCATAGGTGCACTTTGGTAGTGCTCCTACCCTTCCTTCAGTGGTTTGTCTGCAGCACCTTCACTAAGGTCTGCTCATGTAGAAGACAATATACATAATAAAATAGAAACTAACATTTAGAGGGTTGAATTATGTATTTATTTTCTAAATATATTTGGCATTCTAAGTTTTAAAAATAGATACTTGACATTTTCCTGGCAGTGATATATATTACGATTTGACAGTTTGGTATATCTTATGACAATTTTTAGTATAATTTGCATTTAATAATGTGACTTGAATAGTAAGGCTTTTACTCAAGCCTTGTAAGTCGCAAAGAATAATGACTTTAGAGAAGTACTAGAATGGATTTCTCTCAAGGCTTTTGATGAGTTTAGGATACATGAGCATTAACAGACTTCAGTGAAAGAAAGCACTTCAGAATTGTCCCAATCTTAGATTACTTTTATCATTTGGCATTGCTATTGAATTACTCATTGTGATAGGAAGGGAATGGTAGTCACAGAACTTTTAGAGACATTCCCTTTTTCTCCTTTCATGTTTTTTGTTTTACTTTGGAATGCTTTTCTGATCTTATTTACAAATAGCGTACTTAGTAGTTATGGTGATTTCAATCTACTTACATCGAATTGCTTCAAATTAGATCCCTTTCCTGTCTCTCTTTCAGGACTTGAAGCAATGAAAGAAGCATATGGCACTTGTGAAGCTAAACACCAGCCCCCTCTTCGGTTGGACCTTCTGCTTGAGACCTGTATGTGACTTTCCACCTGTGCTCTGTTGTTCTGGAATCTACTGACTTTGATTACAGGAAGGTCTCTGAAGATTTGTATCAAATGACGTCAATGGCCAGCTTGTTTTCTTTTACTAGTCCAGCAGTGAAGCGATTGTTGGGCTGGAAACAAGGTGATGAGGAGGAAAAATGGGCAGAAAAAGCAGTCGATGCTTTGGTGAAAAAGCTAAAAAAGAAGAAGGGTGCCATGGAGGAGCTGGAGAAAGCCTTGAGCAGCCCCGGACAACCGAGCAAATGTGTCACTATTCCCAGGTCTTTAGACGGACGCCTGCAAGTTTCTCACAGAAAAGGCTTACCCCATGTTATATATTGTCGTGTTTGGCGCTGGCCAGATTTGCAGAGCCATCATGAGCTAAAGCCATTGGATATTTGCGAATTTCCTTTTGGATCTAAGCAAAAAGAAGTTTGTATCAACCCATACCACTATAAGAGAGTGGAGAGTCCAGGTAGGTTTTACTCTGAGAATTTGAAAACAACAACAACAAAAACTTGTTACTCTGCATGTAACTAGGTTTATTAGCTAAAAGGTTATATTAGCCTTGTTTTAAAGATTTCATCGTGGAGGGGATACTAGATTTTAAATTTAGCCTTTGTGGTCTATAATTCTCAAGTGACTGTGGGAACTCATTTTTTCACTACCAACACCCATTTTTTGATGTGGTTGACATACCTCTAACTGATGTTTAAACTCATGTTTGTACTAAATCATATTCCTTTTGTTCATTCAGACATTTGTTCCTACATTATCATTTCTTTTTGGCGTTTTTCCCTCTCTACTGGACTCTTTATTTTTAAGCACATTTACTTATTTGGGCTCTGTGTGTGTATGTGTGTGTGTGTGTGTGTGTGTGTGTATGGTGTTGGTGTTGTAGTGTGTACCACAGCACATGTGGAGATCAGAAGATAGCTTGTGGAAGTGAGAACAGCCTTCCTTGGTCTCACTCATTATTATATTTCTTGGTATCTAGAATAATATTGTTTCCTGGCTCTTGGTAGATGGTGGTCTGTATATTTTTGTAGTGAGTGAATTACATAAGCTGATATCCTAGTCCTTGTACTGCTGCTATAGCAGAATACCACATCCCGGATAAGTCACAAACAATAGAAATTTTGGAGGCTAGCCCAAGATTAAGGGACTGCATACATTTCATGAGAGTTGTACCTGTGTCATAACAGCAGAGTAGCATGAGGGTCTTGTGCATCTTAGGTAGGTGCTTTACTATGGAGTGCCACCCAGCCCGAGCAAACTCATTCATATAGTAAGGGGTCCACCCCTACAATAATGACATATTCTTATCTCTCTCTTTCTTTTTTTGAAACAGAGTTTCCCTGTAGCCCCAGCTGTCCTAGAACTTACTATGTAGACCAGGCTGGCCTTGAATTCACAGAGATCCACTGCTTCTGCCTCCTGAGTGGTGGGATTAAAGGGGTGTGCCACCACGCCTGGCTTCTTATCTCTTAATAGGCCCTATCTCCCTCCTTTTATGCTGGGAATTAGTTTCTGGTCTGTGACCTTTACATTCTAACTATAGCTGCTGAGATACTGCTTGTGTTAATTAGTTATATATTTCTACACAGTGAATAGCCACCAATGTAGCAGCTATCATTACTTCATAGTTTTTGGGGGTTTGGCATCTACATGACCTTAATGGATATTTCGAATCAAGGTGTTGGTCAGGGCTGTTTTATTTTCTCAGAAGTTCCAATAGGTAAGGGCCCGCTTCTAAGCTCACTGAGATTGTTGATAAAATTCAGTTCCTTACAGTCCACTGGGCTCTTGCTGATGTCAGCTGGAGGCTGTTCAGTGACTTACCACATGGCCTTCTTCACAGGGAGTTCATACGCACATTGGTTCTTTCATTGTCATTCCACTCCAGGTGTACATACTTTCTCTACCAGACTGTCCTGATAGCATACCTTCGAGTGGTACCGCAGCTTCTTCAAAGCCAGTGATGAGAGATAGCTTTCCTCTGAGAGGGCATCATGCTCCTGTGGAGTGTCCACGTGTATTCCATCACTTGCCATATTCTGTTAGTTAGAAGCAAGTCACAGGTCAGATGCTCAAGGGAGAGGATTAACCCAAGCACATGAATACCCAGAAAGAATACCTTAGAGCCTGTCTTCCACACTGGAGGAATTGTAAACCCAGTGTGGTTAAATGTGGAGATTGACCACAGAATAACAGTGACTTGTGTTAGGCAAAGTTCAAATATGAGCTTCAGAGCTGCCAGGCAGTACTTGAGGTGGTTCTTACAGAGTCCAAGAAGAGCCATAGTCCAAAAGAATTGATGAGGAAAGGAACAGGGCAGATTTAGTGGAGGAGTAATGTCTGAAAAAGTCTGAAGCTAGATATTTGCCTGTACAGTTTAGGAATTTTTTCTGGTCCTCCCACATCCAGGGTGTAACAGACATGAGCCTATAGAAATGTCTGTTTTTCTTGTCCATTTTAATCATTCTTCATGAGGGACAGGAGTCGTTATGATATTTTAAAGTAACTCTGGAAATCTTGGTAGTTCACCTGCTGTAAGAGACTACAGAACCTCATTTTGGTACCATGTCCACATATCTTGGAGGTAGGGACAGCTTGGCTCAGGTAGATTTGCTTAGAGTTGGAGAAGGTGCTAGCATTGTACAGCACTGAATTGCATTTATAACTTTATAGGGAGAGAAGCTAAGTCTTAAAAGAGATGTAACTTATACAGGGATCACACAGAGAATAGATAGTGGAGTGAGCAAGTGCAGAAAGATAAAGACGGAAGATGGGAACTGTTTTTTGAGACACGATCTCTGGCCTGGAACTTGCTTTGTAGACCGTGGCTTTGATCTTGCAGAGATCCATCTGCTTCTGCCTCCAGAGTGCTGAGATTAAAGGCATGTGCCACCACACCTGGTTAAGATGGGAACTTATAATTAGCATAGGAAAAATAGAAAGCCAGCTCAGGTGATCCACTATTTAGTTGAATAGACAGCATTGTCTGGTGGCCAAGATTTTGGGTCCTGGAGCTGGACTTTTGGATTTGAGTCAGGGTTTGGTTATATATTACCCATGTAACCTTAGGTGAGTCACTTAACCTTTTTGTGATTTAGTACTCTCATCTAAGAGAATAATACCTTGCAGAGTTGTGGAAATTGGATAAGTCTATTCCTAAGTAAGTGCTTAAGTTAAAACATTGTGTAGCCCCCAGTCAGTTTTAAAGTCAGTGTCATTTCTACTGGAATAATGCATTCTAGAAATAGAGCATGTGGGAAATGGTAGAGTTTCCCAATAAATACCACTGTATCTGCATAGAGCTCAAGACTGAAAGAGCCTAGTGACCAAGTACTTAGAATAAGAGACTGAAAAGTTTTATCAGGAATAAAAAGATTTCAGAAAGCCTCCAGAAAGAAAACGCAGGACACACACAAAGTAAGACTAGAAATTTAAATTACTGGATTTCTCAGTACAATTCTAGATTCTAGAAGAAAATGAAGCCTTCAAAATTCAGAGGGAAAATGTTATTTGGATTTCTGCCTGTAGACAAGTGAAAGTAATATATTTTCATACATAATACCTCCTTTTCCTTTCTTAGGAAGCCAAGGAAATAAGACCCAGCCAGAGAAAAGGGAGGGGGTGGAGGTGGCCCTTAATTAGCAGCTGGTATAGGTTAAAGCAAAAGACCGAAAGGTCCAGAGGAAAACATGACGTCAGTAAATTATGTGATGATTTATAACTTATGAAAAGCATTCTCAGCACACATTTGACAAATATGTAAGAATCCTGGAAACATTAGTGGTATATACTTAAAATTAAGCAAATGAAGGAACAAGGAAATAATTAACTTTAATAAAAACATTGTTCAGGAGGAAAAATCAATAGTGTAAATAGTTCATCAATCAATTTTATATATGAATATATTTTTAGATATGTATGACATATGCATATGAATATATGATACATATGCATGTGTAATAAAAAGCAAATGTTGATTTAACCCTAATTTTTAATGAAATCTTATTTTAGGGAGAGGAAAAGGGGGTGGGATAGAATAATCTAAGAAAGCTGTCTCAACTAGTAGTCACAGCACTCAGGAGGCTGATACAGGAGAATTACTGTGTTTGAGGCTAACCTGGATAACAGAAAGACCCTATTTCAATCCTCCACCCAAAGTTGCCTCGTTTGCCATAAGAGCAAGTCTGTAAGTAATGTTTTAAAATTAGTAGTATTGACATAAGCATATTTTTTAGCAGCATACAAAGTAAATACTCTAAGAGGTGCTGAAAAACTTAAATTTGCTTATGGAAATAGATGGTGAAGGGCTCAAAATTGCTTTTTTTTTGTTATTTCTTGCTAAATATGTTTATAGTCTTGTCTGTGTCTTAACTCCACGTGTTATTTTAGGTGCAAATAAACATTTTCTGATCATATACACAGACAGAGGGAAACCCGGGATTTTAAATATGCCTTCAAAACAGTCTTTACTGGACTTTATTTCACCAAGTCTTTCAGGTTGCCTAGCGTAACAGAAACCCTTGCTTCTCTTCTCTCTGTTGGCTGCTGCCTCATCTTTCTCTAAGGGGAGCAACAGTCGTTAATACACAGTAGAGCAGAATTGTTGATGTAGTTCACATGTTTATAATGCTAATCCAGTAAAATGAAAAGAAACAATACAAATGCTAACTGCAAGATCTTTTGATTTGTTACAGATGTCCCTGTTTTGAGGGGGAAGTATATATATTTGATAGGCAGATAGATGATAGACAGATAGATAGATATTGATTTTGTTGCTTATAAATGTACAATTTTGTTGGTGCTGAATGGTACCAGAATAAAATTGAGGTTTTTGTGAAATAAAGTGACTTTGGGCAAGTAGAAGAACATTATAAAAGAGGTGAATTAGAATATTAGGAGTTGAAAGAGCCTGGTTTTAGTTTCTTGTAGGTAAAAGCAGTCAGCTATTTGTGATTGATAGCTGGGTCTTTAGAGAAAGTGAACACTTGAATAAAGTTCATTTTAAACATGTCTGTTTAAGTGCTTATTTCTGTATATTTTCTTTTTATTTTTTAAAAAATTATTTTTATTGTATGTGTATGAGTGTATTGCCTGTATGTAGGTAAGTGCACCTGTGTCGTACAATGCCTGCCAAGGACAGAAGTGGCCATTGGATCCCCTGAACTGGAGTTACGGACAGTTGGTAGCTGCAGTGTGGGTTCTGGGATTCGAACCCAGGTCTTCTGCAAGAACAACCAGTGTTCTTAACTGCTGAGCCATCTCTCCTGCCCCATTATTTCTGTATATTTTCATTATATTTAGAAGACTGGTTTTGAAGAGAAGACTTCTAACTGGGAATATTATTTCAGTAACGAGAACTTCAACTACTCTAAAATGGAAGTGTTAAAAGTTGGAAGTGTGGGCTGAAGAGATGGCAGTTAAGAGTACTGGCTGTTCTTACAGAGGATCTGGGTTCAAACCCCAGCGCCCACATGGCGGCTAACAACCATCCATAACTTCAGTTCCAGGGGGGATCTGATGCCTTCTTCTGACTTCTGCAGGCACTGCATGACACAGGTGCACTTACATACATGCAGGCATAACACTCATACACTTAAAAAAAAAGTTGGAAATGCAATTTTCAGGGCATCCACATAACTGACCTCAACTTCCCTCCCTAATTTTTTCTAGGTCAGTGCCTAAGCCAGCTGATTATTTCCTATCCCCCTCCATCCCTAGCATTCTCTTGTGCAGTCCTTCTGGTTTAGTCAGGTCTTACCATTTCCACAGTGTTTGGTTTGATTCCCTGTTAGCTGGGTGTGCTCAGCTTTTGAACTTGGCATTACCTCAGAAAAAGGAAAAGAAACAAAACAAAACAAAAAAGACCTTAATGAGCTATAGTACGAGAATGGAATCTTTTCTGTCTTTCAGAGTCCATTATATAAGATAACTGCTTTTAGCATTTTTGTTTTGGTTATTATGTAAATGAAAATGTACATAGCCCTTCAAGTTTACAGTCTACTTGAGTCTTTTCTACCTGCCCCTTTAAAGGTAGGTGTGACATTTGCTTCAGTTCTTCCTGACTATGACTTTTGCATTTTTCTTGCAGTCTTACCTCCAGTGTTAGTGCCTCGTCATAATGAATTCAACCCACAACACAGCCTTCTGGTTCAGTTTAGGAACCTGAGCCACAATGAACCGCACATGCCACAAAATGCCACGTTTCCAGATTCTTTCCACCAGCCCAACAACACTCCTTTCCCCTTATCGCCAAACAGCCCCTATCCCCCTTCCCCTGCCAGCAGCACATACCCTAACTCCCCAGCAAGTTCTGGACCAGGAAGTCCATTTCAACTCCCAGGTAAGACTTTAGAGATAGAAAAATCAATACTCTAATAATCTCTGAGAATCAGCAGTTGTTCTACCTGTTGGTCTTCTGGGTAGGCTTATACAACAAGAGCTAGTTGATCATTGTATATTCTTTAGATAACCATTTAATTTCCACAAAACTTGGATTTTATTTTTTCAAGTTCTATTATGTTTAAAAATTTGCTGAGGGACTTAAATATAGCTGTTTAACTCAGTATACTCAATATTAAAATTGTCTCAAAAGCAAATTTGAATACCTCATCTTAGATCAGTGCTATATGTAACCATGTCTCAAAATATATCCTGTATAAACCTTGGGGTGAGAGACAGTTTATATTCAGTTTTATAGTTACTGAGACAAAAATGTCTAGCTATAGCTTTCGCAAAGATTTGTAACTATGAGTGTTGGAACAGTTTCCTAGCTAATTACCTAGGCAGTTAATGGGACATGACAGTTTGTTGGGACATTTAAAAAGAATTAAGTAATTACTGTTACTGCTAATGCAGACTTTGAGTGGACTTGGTTTTATTTTTCAGTTTTGAATGCTAGTATACAATATGTGATGGTCTTGATGATATTAAAATGTATCTGTAGTGTGTACTTATGGGAACTGGGATAATCTGCCCATCAGACTGTTTTGTACTAGCTGCAGTGTCTCTGCGCACAGGCTATTTTGCAAGTAAGGGCAGAATTCTTGATCTCAGGTTCTATTCTAGTGAATTTTTGTATTGATCCTGGTATCCTGGATTAGGAAGGATCTAGGCCAAGTGAATGTACCTGTACCATGTATTCAGGAGCTGTTATATGTACTATCTTTTCTGCTCTGTCTCATATTTATGTGTGTGCAGTGTTCAGTAATGAATCTTGCTGACCATATTGTGAGCTTTAAAATGGTTTTAGAGTAACAGCTTTAAACAGAATGAAGACTTTATTCTTTTTAGTGCATTAACTTGTCTGATTTTCTTTCTCTTAGCTGATACGCCTCCTCCTGCCTATATGCCACCTGATGATCAAATAGGTCAAGATAATTCCCAGCCCATGGATACAGGCAATAATATGATTCCCCAGATTATGCCCAGTGTATCCAGCAGAGGTAAGAGTACTCACCATTTTGATTTTGTTGTTGCTATTTTTACTTAGGTTTTTTTTTTTTTTTTTTCTGCAGTGTTATGGGTCCAACACAGGGCCTCCAACTCTAGGCAAGCAATCTCCCACTGAGTTACTTTCTTAGTCTTAGCCACTTTTAAAAAACACCCTAAGGGGCTGAATAGATGGCCCAGTGGTTAAGAGTACTGGCTGCTCTCGCAGAGGACCAAGGTTCAATTCCTAGCACCCACATGGTGGCTAATAACCATCCATAACTCCAGTTCCAGGGGAATTTGATGCTCTCTTCTGACCTCTACAGGCATTTCATGACACGGGTATACTTACATACGTGCAGGCAATAATATAAATAGACATAAAATATAAAAATATATTATACACATAATATAAAATCAATCATACACATAATATAAAAATACACATAATATAAAAATAATAAAATATTTTAAAAATATCTTGAATGAAGTGTAATTTTACAACGTTTCTCACAAGATTTGCATTCCTATACCTGGCTCAATACCCTTTGTTTTCTGTAGAGATTTTTCTTTCCTAAACATTTCATAAAATTAGAGTCATGGGGCTAGTGAGTTGGCTCAGTTGTTAAAGGCACTTGCCACCAAGTCTGATGGCCAACACTGATAACCTGAGTTTGATCTCCTGTAGCCACTTAGTGGAAGGAGAGACCCAGTCTCCAGCACACACACACACACACACACACACTCTCTCTCTCTCTCTCTCTGTCTGTCTCTGTCTCTGTCTCTGTCTCTCTGTCTCTCTCTCTCTCTCTCACACACACACACACAAAATAAATAAGTAAATGTAATAAAATAGCCATATTATATATAATCTTTTTAAAAGATTTATTTCTATTTCATGCATATGAGTGTTTTGCCTACATGTTGTATGTAAGTGCACCAATGTGTGCTATGCCCATGGAAGCCAGAAAAGGGCATTAGATCTCCTGGAACAAAGGGTACAGATAATTATTAGCTGCCATGTGAGTGCTGGGAACTGAACCTAGGTCCTCTTAACCACTGAGCCATCTCTCAGCCTTGTGGTGTGAAAGATATGTAATCTTTTACATCATACTTGGTTCACTTAGCACAGTGCTGTCAAGGTCACCCATGGTGTAGCATGTCAATTATTTGCTCCATTTTAATGTTGAACAGTGTTGCTTTGCACAGATACAACACATTTGATCAGGCCACCAGTCCACTGAATTGTTTATGGTTTTTAGTTATTATAATTAATGCTCTTACAAATATTTTCACACAATCTTTTTGTGGATATTGTTTTTATCTCTCCTGGGTCAATGTCTATGAGTAAGAATTGCTGGGTCATATGGCAAGTTTAACTACTTATAAAAAACGCCAGACTTTTCTAACATGTCTGTACTAATATAAGCAGTATGTGAGGGGTCCAGCTTTTCCATAGCTTCCTAGTACTTGTTATTGTCTGTCCTTATTCAAGGTTATCACTATTTGACGGGTATGAAATGCCATTATGATTTAATTTATATATCTCTAATGAGTAAGTTCTGAGCATTTAAAATTTTTTCTTTGGTGCAATATGTATTTTAAATCTTTTGCCCGTTGGATTGTGTGTATTTTTGTGGGGAGAGGTTGTAAGAGTTCTTTATGTATTCTGGAAATGAATCAATCACCTCTCTTCCCCTTTTGGTCTACATAGCAAGTTCCAGGCCTGCCAGGGCTATATAGTGAGACCCTGTTTCCCTCCTCCCCCAATAAAGAGACCCTGCCTCAAATAGGGTGGAGGCAAGGACCAACACCCGAGGCTGTCCCTAACTTCCAACATATGCTACATTTTGGGGTCTCTCCCTTCCCTCGTGGGTTGTTGGCCACCGGTCCACGAGGACAAAGGGAGCAGAAGCAACGAACAGGGTCAGGATGGCCAGTGAGCACTGACGGAAGAAAGCCCTTCCGGGGAGGCAGGTTCAGTGATACAAACAGCTCCAGACGCAGTGAAACAGCTCCGTTTATTCAGTGGGGTTTAGGGAAAATACAGTGTGGAGGCAGCAGCCAATGCTTCAGCTGATAGGTGCTCATAGTATGCTTTATTTACATGTGGTAGCAGGATCCTATCATCTGGCTATAGGGCATGCCTAATTATCATATAGAAAAAACCTGGGGGCAGCTTTATTGCAGGTAACTATGCCAAAGGTCATGTTTCAAATGAGGCCAAGCATCTGTGCTTGGTGGCACTTTCCAGGTAAGTCAGGCAGGAAGCCCCTGCTGAGAACGGAGCAGACCTGAACAGCAGGGTTCCCCAACACTACATGGCATGCATGTATGTGTGCACATGATTTTAAAAAAAAGAAGAAGAAGAAAATTGCCATTTTACAAATTTTTTTAAAAGTTTACATTCATTTTATACTTGTAATAATGAAGAATATCTGTGTAAAACCGACAACTTCATACCTGATGGTCAGAAGTAGATTTTCCTCTGAGATCAATCAGTGACAAGGCAAGCGTGGCTCTTCTGCAAATGTTCCTAGTTTGAGCTCAGTTTTTGAGTTCATCTTTTTGTTTAGAATAATCTTATTGATGTAGTTAAATATTTTTAGTTGCTGAAAAAGAATTTTGTTTCACTAATTTAGGCCTGTACTAATTTGTCCTAGAGAGATATTGCTACTATGTTTGGAATTGTGTCCTCCCACCATCCCTAAGCCCCAATGTAGTCATATATGGAAATAGGAGTTGTTGGGGGCCAGTTGGGTTTCAATGAGAGCGTAAGGATGAGGTCCTGCTGGTGAGATTGTGAGTGTCCCTGTAAGAAGGACCTGATTAGTCTCTCCAGCAGGAACACAGATAATTTGGCTTGAGGGGCAGAGATGGGTCAGGGTTAAGGAAGACGGTTAGCAATGTCCTTCCTAGTTTATAGAAATCTATTGGGCTGCAAGCTCAGAAGAGGAGAATGGCCCTGATTTAGCAGTCAGTAGATGGGATCAGCATCTGAGTTTCATCAGGTTAGATGAAGCTCTCGGGACAAGGATGCTTGGAGCCTTGAGAATACAACTCTGCAGCATACAACTTAATGCCGTTTCATGTGTTCCAGCTGTAGAGGGATCTTTCCTAGAGATTTTGTCTTCAGCTTACCTGTAGATTTTTTTTTTTCCCTTCCTGGAATGAACTAAGACTTTGGGGACTTTAGAGATGGGATATCTATCTATGTTTATTTATTTATTTTTTGCATATGACTTGGGGGGTGTAAAAAGTAATTGACTTATGAGTCCCTCATTGATTCTTATGATGATGCCTTAATCCCCAGTGTGATGGTGTTTAGAGATGGGGTCTTTAAAGAGATTTAGTTAATTAATTAATTAATTTTTAATTTACGAATGTTATGCCTACATGTATAGAAGTGCACCCATGTCGTGCAGTGCCCGTAGAAGGCAGAAGAGGGCATCAGATCCCCTGAAACTGGAGTTAAGGAATGTTGCTAGCCACCATGTGGTGCTGGGATTTGAACCCGGGTCTCCTGTAAGAGTAGCCAGTGTTCTTAATTGCCGAGCCTTATCTCCAGCCCCTCTTTGAAGAGATTTAAATGAGTTCTTGAGAGTAGGGTCCTCGTGATGGGTTTACTTGCCCTTGTGACAATATAGACATAGCAGCCAGGGAGATGGCTCAGTGGGTAGAAGCACTTGCTGGGCAAACTTGATAATCTGAGTTCGGATCCTTAGAACCCACATGCAAAAGGCTGGGTGAAATAGTGCATGTCTGTAATTCCAGCATTCCTATGTTGATGTGGGAGGCAGATACAGGATAATTGCCTGGAAGCTCATGGCCAGCCAACCTGGAATATGAGGCAAAGCATCAGAAACTAGAAACCTCTCCTCAAAACAAGGTAGAAGGATAACCAACTTTCAGAGGTTGTCCTCTGGTCTCTACACACATGTACCTGCACTTAAATATATACACTATCCAGTTTTGATACTGGGGAGAATTGAGTCCTGTCATAAGGGGGATCTTAGTCTCATTCATAAAAGAATTGAAGAATGGACTCAAGCAGAAGCTCAGGGGTAATTTTATTAGAATTTAAAGAGAAATCCTCAGAGCAGGCAAACTATAGATCTCTGCAGCTGCCTTGAGGAGAATGGAGGGGAGAAGGCAAAAAGCCATAAAGCTACAATGGTTTAGAGCTAGCATGGAGGTTGGGCCCATGGTGGACTACCAGCCGGATAGAAGAGAGCTCTAGAGGAAAAGTAAGAAAACCCAAAATGTTGGCACAGCCCAGCATGTTAGGGAAAGCATACTTAGAGAAGAGTTACAAAGAGGAAAAGGAGAGATTTATGAAAGGAGGGCAAGATTTACAGAGAGCCACAATCCTGTGACCCAGAGCCCTGGGCTAAGAGGTGGGAACTCTGGGTATAAAAAGTTCACCATCTCATTAATGCATTAGTAGTCTGCATATCTCTTTAGCATGGCTTAAAATGAACCTGCCTTCCTAAGGGTAGTCCTGTGACCAGCAAAGCTGGAAAGTTGGGTCTTCATCCAGGCCAGAGATTTTTATTCTCTTGATCAAATTTTCTTTTAGGGAACTTTTTGCTACTCCTATAGTTTAGTTTCTGTTGCTGTGATAAAACACTAACCAAAAGTAATTAGGAAAGGAAAGGGTTTATTTGACTTACAGTTCACAGTCCGTCTTTGAGGGAAGCCAAGGCAAGAAACTAGAGGCAGGAACTGAAGCTGAGATCACAGAGGAACCCTCCTTACTGGCTTGTCTCCCCTGGCTTGTTCAGCTACGTTTCTTATACAGCCCTGACCCACAAGCCTAAAGATGGCTTCACCTATGGGTCAGTAGTTTGTGCCAGGCTGACAAAAGTTGCCCCCCCCCCCCCGAATAGACAGAGGTAAATTTTAAAATCTTTATGAGCATACACTGAAGAAAGGCCATATGAGCACACAGCAACAGGGGCTCTGTAAACCAGAAGTGAGTCCCCTCTAGACAGCATGTCTGCTGACACCTTCATGCTCAGTCTCTAGAACTACGAAGAACTTAAACCACTCAATATGTGGCATTTTGTTATAGCTGTCTACACAGGCTAAGATAAGTTTTCTTAGACTCAAAGCCAGGAGGTCAGTGAAACTTGAATGAAGTGTCTTTTCCCTTCCATGTGAGCTTGGTTATGTTAAAGGGTAAATCCGGTGAACCTGGATCTTCAGATAATCATTGATTAAACTGTTTGTTCACAGATGTTCAACCTGTTGCCTATGAAGAGCCTAAACACTGGTGTTCAATCGTCTACTATGAATTAAACAACCGTGTTGGAGAAGCTTTTCATGCATCTTCTACTAGTGTATTAGTAGATGGATTCACAGACCCTTCAAATAACAAAAGTAGATTCTGCTTGGGGTTGTTGTCAAATGTCAACCGTAATTCAACAATTGAGAACACTAGGCGGCATATTGGAAAAGGTAATCGTCATTTCTCTGCCTTCGGTTGAATTAAGTCATTTGTTGTATGGGCTATGTGCATTCATTGCAGAAGTTTCTGAAAACATCCAAAACGTCTTAAGGTATGACGTTTACCTCAAGTTGCAGATTAAAGAATGTATTAATAAAATAAAGATACGATCAATCCCCTCTTCTTTAACGTGCTTAGTTTTCCTAACTAGTACCAAAGGTCTGAAATGCTGTTGTTTCCTTCTTGAAGAAACCTTGACTGGGAAGTAAGGGACATAGGAATTTGCCTTGTTCACAGTGTCTTCAGTCTTTAGAATAGTGCCTGGCTCTTAAAGTACACACAGAAAAACTTTGTAGAATATGGGAATGTTGGTGAGGCATTAGAGTTTGATGATTATGGCATTCGGGTTCTTTTTCATTGAATAACTTGTAAGAGTTATTCCACAGTGTTGGAGAATTGGAGGGTGAGGTGGGAACTTGAGTTGGAATATTAAGTCTTCAGGTAACAAGGTTAATTTATAAGCCGTCCTGTAATGTAACTGCTACAGTGTATAGGCTACTTTTCATGCTGCAGTGAAATGCCAGTCTCACGCCTCAGAAGGAAGCAGATCCATCCCAGGTAGAATGCATTATAAGTTTCTTGGGAAGTTTTTCTTTTATACCCTTGCTGCTTTTTGCTCTTTTGACTTGACAGTCTTGGTGAAAAAGAGGAACAATAGCAAGTAATTATAATTGTGATAAGATTGCTTATGGAAGAAACTCAGAAAAGCAGTGTGGTCAGAATAAGTTGAAACTGGGTGAGGTGGCACATACCTATAATCCCAAAAAACAAACAACCAAAAAAAAAATTAAAAGCAGTTTTCATTCTCTTGATCTCATTGTCAACTTGCTGTAACTTTTGGGCAAATACCTCACTTCTGTGTGTTGGTACTTTTCCCCTTCCCCTGCTACAGTAGAGCGTTTAAGGGAGCTCTCTAGTAAATCCTGAAATGCTAGTATTAGTTTTCTCTTATTTGTCAATATACCCATTCTGGGGTCTTTTTGATTTTGATCAGTTTTTGTTTACTCAGAAGCACACCAGTTTTTAATACTAAATCCTGCTGCAATTCTGTAACTTATATTATATTTGGGCAGAGTTTTGCATCCATGGGATACTGCTACAAAACTGTGTGCAGTAATGGAAGGTAGTTGAAAGTTTTCATTTGTAGGCAGTGTCTGTATAGTCATCTAGAGTATAGCAATGCAGCCAGAGCTATGAGGAAGATGAGAGAGTGATACCATTTACATTAAAAACCCAGCAAAGCACCCACCCCCCAGAAACCACCCAGAAGTATTCTGTAGGGCAGGCATACCTAGCCAAATGCAGAAAGGTTTAGAGGGGCACGCACCACATTCATAGCAATGTGTGCCTGTGAAGAAGAAAAATTGAGGTAGTTCCTAGAAGGATATATTGGGAAAATACTAGGCAATTTCAACTTTACCAATATAATTTGGCAGTGTAGTATGAGAACTGCTTTCACATGGTATTTATAAGTATATTTTAAATATACAAAAAACTTTTTAGAGGGGAAAATAAGTCTGCCATTTCAAAGGTTTTTCTATGATCTGAATTTGCATCCACACCTTTGTGTTTCCTTGGCTGTTGATTGAAATGCTGCGGTCCAGTCCTCTTTGTTAGCAAATGGTAAAAACTGGAAATAAGTATTTATGGTAGTTGATAGCACCAGGCATGTTTTTGAAAGTAGTCATAAAATGAATTTTTAAAAAGCCGTCTTTTTCTCTCATAGAAAGAGAATGATTGCTGAAAAGGCCATGGAGGGTGGGGGCCCTTAATACTCTGCCATCCTGAGCTTCAGGCTTGGTTGTTTTGATTGTTTTAGAACCGTTTACATTTAGGCAGATAGCAACCACTTGGTTATTTTTGGCTACAGAAGGCCATCTAGTGGTAGTTTTGACCTAAACACTGTTGGGAGTTGGCTGTGTATTTCTGGATACTTTGGTTGCACGGTACAACCTCTTTGGCTTCATTATAATGCTTTGTTAAGCCAGTTCTCGTGTTCCTGTTTCTTTAAGGTGTTCATCTGTACTATGTTGGTGGGGAGGTGTATGCGGAGTGTCTCAGTGACAGCAGCATATTTGTTCAGAGTAGGAACTGCAACTTCCATCACGGCTTTCATCCCACCACTGTCTGTAAGATTCCCAGCAGCTGCAGCCTCAAAATTTTTAACAATCAGGAATTTGCTCAGCTTCTGGCTCAGTCTGTCAACCATGGGTTTGAGGCAGTGTATGAGCTCACCAAAATGTGCACCATTCGAATGAGTTTTGTCAAGGTGAGTCATTACTTTTGATCTTTTTTCATACATTTTAAAGTGAGATTCTTGAATTTTTCATTTTAACCATATGATAGGTTATTTCATTTTATAATTTGCACCTAAAGTACATGATTAATTTTGATGTTGACGAAGGCTTGAGTTTACAAAAAATTTCAGTTAAAAGACTAAATTTTGGAAAGTATTTAGTATTAAAATTACATTTTGAGTACCTTAGCTTCAATAATTTTAGTTATTAGATTCCAATTCAATGACTCAACAGAATTATTTATAGTATAAATATTTTATTGTATCTCAGCTCTGTTGTAAAGGATTTATAAAGTCTGTCATTTACTCTCTTTGCCGAGTTTTATAGAACATTCCAAGGACTGTGTTTCATGAACAAAATTTGCAAAGATTTACAGTGATCTATTTAGTGTCTACTGTACCCTCCTGGTCCTTAGGACTTATCTCAAGAAGAGCACCTGTCTCCCACCCTGTGAGGTTTTGTGTACTCACACAGTACCTCCTCGCTGTTCTTCAGTCTGAAGTTACTTCTCTCCCTCTGCAGGAGTGTGGCTTGTGTGTTCTGTTTGCTCTGCAGTCCCTTACCTGCTCTGTTCCTCTCCCCTCCATGCCCCTAGTTTTCTTGGGACAGGACTGCTATGAGCAATAAAATGGAGGACTTGCTAACCAGGAAACTAAAAGTAAAAATACCTATTTCAGTTTTCAGCTGGAGTTCTAAGCTAATGTTTCAGCTTCCTTTATCATTAATTTCTCACCCTTAAGGATAATGGCATAATGTGATTACTACAGTAAATTATGCATTGATGTCTATAGTGCCTTATCAGATAAAAATAAACAACAAGCCGCGCGGTGGCGCACGCCTTTAATCCCAGCACTCTGGGGGCAGAGGCAAGTGGACCTCTGTGAATTCAAGGCCAGCCTGATCTACATAGTGAGTTCCAGGACAGCTGGGGCTATAGGGAGACCCTGTCTCAAAAAGACCAAAAAATAAATAAACAACAAAATAAATAAACAACAAAATTCCAAAACTCTAAAACCATTTTTGGTACCAAATCTACCATGAAATGACATGAGGCTCTTCTGAGTTTTATTTGTCCTAATGAGACTGTATATTAGAGCAGAAAATGTTTTAATTATGAGAGACCCTAGTGTGTGGTCTTGGGAAATTTTTTTAAAATTCTGAAATATATTTGGCCTCATGGTTTTGTATTAGGGAAATTCTATTATTTATTAAAAGTTTTATGTCTTTGGATAATGCAGCTTATCTTTTAATACTAATGTGAATGGTGATTGGTTTTCTGTAGCTATTCTATTTAAATACATTTTGTGTATTTTTACTGTTAAGCTTTTTCTTGTTAACATTGGTTTAGAGCGGTTGGCAGTTTGCAGAAGGATTTGCTATGACATCTGTTCATTTTCAGGGCTGGGGAGCAGAATATCACCGGCAGGATGTTACCAGCACTCCATGTTGGATTGAGATTCATCTTCATGGGCCCCTTCAGTGGCTGGATAAAGTCCTTACTCAGATGGGCTCTCCTCTGAACCCCATATCTTCTGTTTCATAGTGCAGAAGTATTCTTTTCAACTATATTTTTAGTGGACTTGTTTTAATTTTAGAGGAATTTCCAGTACAAATACTGTGAGCTGACATGGATAAACAGATATTTTGGCTTATTTTTTCTACATAATTGTGACCAACACATTTGTATTTTATGATGAATCTACCTTTGTTTGTATTCGTGTTCATTGTGATTAACTTTTTAAAAGTATTGTAAAAGATGTGGAATAAGTATTATGCCCCGTTCAGAAGTTTGGTATTGATCTTAAACTGGAACATGCTTTTGCTTATTGTCCCAACAGTTTTTAATTTCTTAATTTTTAAAAAAACAGTCTATCACTTAATGGAAATTTGTAATGTAAGAGTATATATATCATGAAAAGTGATTCTTTTGTTGATCTTCTAGGAGCTATGCTTCTAAGAATTTCTCTGTCCCACCACCTTTTAAAATAAGCATAGTACATTGTTTTATAAAAACATACAGTAAGGGGTTAAAAGAAACTATTAAATTTTTTATCACTGCTGTAACAAGTGGTATTCAATGAAAAGGTAAGGTGATGGATTTCTAGATGACGTCATCAAATTCCCACTTAGAACTGAATGTTTGTCAGTGTGATGTGGCTTCATGCTGTGTATCTTTTGTAAAACATTTCCTTTTTAAAAGGTCTCTAGTATATGTCATTTACTCAACATCTGTCATAAGTACTACTTAATAGCTAGTGACAGTGTGTACATGGCCTGGGTCAGCTGTTTGCTGCTTTGGGCCAATGTTTCAAGAACTCTAATTTTGCCGTGCATTAATCTTTTTATTTTGCACTTTTATGGTGATAGTTTTTAGTATAACCTTTGGTAAAACACTCAAGTGAGCTGGCCTTAGACCTTCTCTTTCCTTCCTTGGCACCCCTTTGTATTAACAAACACTGCAGTTTAGAGACTACATTTGTAGGAGGTTATGCTTTTTCTAGTTTAATTTTCAACCTAGATTATAAAAGTGTTACTCCATAGCTCCAACTAAGGTGCCTGTTAATTCCCTACGGTTTTATGGGTGTTATTAATGTTGGAAGACTGTGTACTTAATGCCATTGCTCTTATATCAGACTTCTTATACAAGGACCGATGCCGTATAGCCATTGTAGGTTCTTTGGTTGGGCCCCAAGGATGAGACAGACTACTGGTGTGATAGTAAATGAATCAGCAGTGAGGGTTGTCTTAGAACATTCACCTACCAGCTGTAGACAGACGTCTCTCACTTAACGCAGTGCTCTTTCTCTTTCTGTTCTTTTAGAGCCTACGTGAATGCTTGTCTCTCAGAACACTGTCTTCTGAGAGGAAAGATGTGAAAGCTCTAAGGTACCCATTTAGTTCATTGTGCCTTGGGCTTTAGGACCACTCTTCTCCACTTTTCTAGGGAATGGTCAGGTGGACACAGGTATGGCACAAGAATGAAAACACTACTTTGAATTTCCCTGTCAGGATGAGAAGCTTTATTTTCTGGTGTCTTCGATAGTATATAGAGCCACTTCATTCTTCTACTGACATTGTTAGTTTGGTTTGACTTTCTGTTTTGCCCCTCCTGCTTTTGTGAAGAAAAAAAATTACTTTTTTTTTCTGTTTAAGGAAAGAATTACATGATTCCTTTTGTTTTCTGTGTCATTATTTATTGCCTTTGAGAGTGCAGCCATTGGGTGGTTTTATTCCTTCACGTGAAGTGCGTTTGTGTTTCAGACCACAGTCCTTTGCTGGGTAAAAGAATGCCTTCCAACAGTCACCAGAGCCTTAAACATAAGTGTTATGGAAGACAGGTTTCAAACTTCCAGAGCATGTCGGACACATGAAAGAATTATTTGCTCAGAATAGAATGTAGCTGTTCTTATTAGTCCTTTACTTACTGGGCTCAAAGGAGTCTCCGGTTGACTCACAGATATGCATACTCCACCTTAGTGAGCTCTGCTGAGCTATTAGAGGCTATTGCTTTATTTTATTGATGTTAAAACTCATTCATTGGCAGTCATGTTTAGAGTTAGCAGGACTTTTATGTGATTGGCTTTTCTCTATATGACAGCACTGAAGCTGTTAGCCACTAAGAGTTGTGGAGAAGTAAAAACCTATTTCTTAAAACAAAGTGTTTCTTCAAAGTTGTCAACTTCATACCTGTGGGCTTTAATGAAAACTGTGCCGTGCAGCTGCTCTTGCAGTGTTCTAAGGGTACTCATGTATGTACCTGTGGATAGAAAAGAAACATTCTGGTCAAGAAAAAGAAGCACCTCTAAAAGAAGTTATTTCAGGAAAGTAGTTTAAAATTTTATTTAAGGGATGATTTATAGTCAAACTTAGGAAAACATTAGCACCACTAGAATGATCACATTTTTTTGAGATAGGCTATCATGTAGTCTAGACTAGTCTTGAACTTGCTCTGTTGCTGAGGATGGCCTTGAATTCCTGACCTTCCTTCCTCTGCCTCCCAAGTGGTACCATACTCAAGTTAATAAGGTGCTGGGGATCAAACTCAGGACTTCATACATGCTAGGAAAGCTCTCTACCAGATGAGCTACATTTCTAGTTCAGTAATGACATCTGATGGCATGCAAAAATATATTAATAATATACTAGTTAAAAGATAGAATTTGCAAATAATAAAATTGCAGTCCATTTCATAAATGCAAAAGGCAGAGTCAGCATCTCAGTAATGGATTATAGCAACAAGATGTTGATTAGGAAATGGCAAAACAAGAGAGGTATGTTTGAGTAGCCCTCTGCACAATGGAGTGATGCCTTCTTGTGTTACCTTGCTAAATTTGGGAACTGTAACTAGTAGGCATGGTGTTGGTCTTCTAAAACTAGCACTGAGGAGAAAATTTAAGAAATCAGTTCTTAACATGTCAAATACGTGCATCAGAACATGGACCTTCTTTTTACATGTCTCGTGGTTGCTTAAGTAAGACCAAGTGGTGATAGGAGAGGCTGAGCTGGGACCAAGAGTGCCACGTGTTTTAATGCAGACGGGGAGTCTGAAGGGTCATAAATACTGAAATCTGAAAAGTGCTGCCAAAGGCCTAGAGTTTACCTTACAAATCTTCCTGAAGGGTGCCTGTGAGGCAAAGCCCCCTCTCCTGCCAGTTGTACCCTACTGGAGGAGAAAGTTTATAGAAGAAATGAAATTTTACTAATGACTGGAGAATTAATTGGCAGTGTCTGTTGAAGTACTGTCCACACAGTTCTGGTCATTTCTTGATACCTTTTCTAGTCATTTCCCTTAATAGTATTTTGGATCACTGTCACCTTTCTCACTTAAAATACATTAATATCATTTTTGCTTCCTGAGGATGAAAGAATATTGATAACAATTTTTTTTTGAGATAGGTTATCTTCATAGAGCTCTGCCTGACTTAGAACTTGCTGTATGAGCCCAGGCTAGCCTCAGACTTAAAGTGATTCTCCTGCTTCTGTCTTCCAAGTGCTGGGTTTACAAACATGCACCACCAGGCCCTGTGCCTTTTGGTAATTTTTGACTTCAGCCCCTAGTGATGATATCTTGTATTTGGATGTATTAATGTTGAAGTGGTTATACCCCTTCTTTGTCTTTGACTAAATCCTCTGATATCTGGGGTCTCAGTGAAAGTATCTGTTCTCATTTTCTACATCAGCTAGAAAAGCTGGTGGTTTTAGAAATGTTAGGTGGTTTTTAGGGGAGAGCATTCTCCTAAGTGGTGGTTTAAAGGTGGTCTCAGATACTAACTAGGGCAGCTGTTTTGAAGGCCATCTCCAATCTGTCGGCTATTTTCCTCACAGCAACACTATTTTCTTTATTGATAGTGGTAAAAGGCTTTGGAAGACACGAGTTCTTGGAAGTTCAAAGCATGCATATATTGGAAGTGAGATTGTAAAGCATTGGTCCTCCCAGAGAAGTGTGCCTGAGGGACAGACACTGGGGAGGCCTTTGGAGTTTGGGGAATTACAGCTGAGTGTGTGCTGACAACAGGCGGTATCAGTATTTACCAAGCCTTGTTTAATTGGATTATACATACAAGAAACTCATTTCCTGGCTGGGGCTGTAGCTCAGTGATGGAGTACTTACCTAGTACTTACCTAACATGCACAAAATCCTGGGTTCAGTCCCCAGCACCGCACAAGAAAACAAAACTTATTCTCAAAAAATTCTTTTTTTTTTTTTTTTTTTTTTTTTTTTTTTTTTTTTTTGTCTTTTTGAGACAGGGTCTCCCTGTAGCCCCAGCTAGCCTGAAACTCAGTGTGTAGACCAGGCTGGCCATGAATTCACAGAGACCTACCTGCCTCTGCCTCCCGAGTGAGTGCTGGCACTAAAGGTGTGTGCCACCACATTGGCTATTCTTAAGTATTCTAATTGATGTGACTCTCTCCAAAATTGGATAGTGTACCGGAATCAAGGAACGAGAATCATACATTGATCTGTTGTTTTTTTTTTAAGGTAAGAATACATGTTGAAATACTTTGCTGGTTACAGCTGCTGTACGTTGAACGATGAGTTATTTTGTTGAAAAGGCCAGTTTTAGAGCAGGGTTTTTGTCCAAGTAACTCAATTCTCAAAATTTTTTAATCATTATAAAGAATTATCTTTTAAGGATTTATTTGAAGTTGCTCTTTAAAAGTTCAGAATTTTGTGAGCAGGAAGATTTTCCCCCAACTAATAGGTGGTACTTTTCTTAATATGAACTGGTGTGTTAACCATAACAAAACCCAGTTAGGTCAAAGAACCCCCAAGTTCTTTTGAAAGAAGTCTTTCAGAGTCAGATGTTCTAATGCCCCTGCAAATGGTGTTGCTTTGACCTGCTCATAAGTATCTGAGGTAAGGAATCTTAGGGATGACAGTTGGGCAAGTGACACTCTTTTTAACCTGGTTGGTTAAAGTTAGAGTTTGACTTTCAGTTTGGGTAAGATTGCAGTCATGGAAAACAAGGGCTTGTGTGCACCTGCCCTCCTCGCAAAGATCCTCCATTTCCCAGGTGCTGATGACCAGATCAGTGGCTACACTGAAGGCTGCTTATTTGTACCTGTTTGCTTCTGTTTATGTTACAGAAAACAAAATTCTAGCAACATGCTTCAACTTTGTTACCTTTTGATACTTATAAAAATGTATTAGGTTTTATTATATCGTGCTTATCAAAGCCATAACTCCTTAAGAAATTTGTTTTTGCATATTGTTTGCTAATACTTTATTTTAATAAACCTCAAAATTGCTTAGTGTGTCTGTTTCTGTTCATTTCTTGGTGCTTTGTTGATTGATGCTTCCTGGAGTGCGGTTCTGAAGGGGGATGAGCTTTTCAGTCGGTGCCCCTGACAGAAGCGTGCACACCCCATACCTCTCACCAAGCCTGAGATTTGGTCAGAGACATCCGGAGTTTTGTTCATTTTGTTTGTATGGGAGTGATGTGCTTTTGTTTTATGATTTTGTTTTGAAGGAGGATTGAGGCTTGTCTGAGGAATTTCAGTTTAACCACTAATTGTCCTAAAGGTCTCATGTCTAAATGAGGGACTTGCTTAACAAAGCTGGTGTAGAGTCTGCCTTACTGTATTTGATTCTTGGGCCTCATGGCTCTGTGCCCTTAGGCAGGATGTGTAATCACTTTGTGTCTCAGTTTCCCTGTCTGTAAAATAACAAGTCTACTTCATAGGAAAATTAAATGAAGTAATACAAATAAGGTACTTAGAGAGTGACAGAGGAAGACACCCCAAATCGACTTCCCGTCTACACAAATAAGCACATGTGTGCACACTTATGCATACAACACATACACAGTGTGTCCATCCATAATCAGCTACTTAACTGTCAAAGGAAACAGAATAATGTGGCATCTACCTGAACAGTTTACTAGGGCACATGCCTAATGTCTAGTGGTTAGTTATTGGTTTAGGAGCTTTAGTTTATGCTTTTCTGTGCTGTCAAAGTTCTCAGAATTTGGGCTGGAGAGATGGCTCAGTGGTTAAGAGCATTGGCTACTCTTGCAGAAGACCCAAATCTGATTCCCAGCTCCCACATGGCAGCTAACAACCCTCTGTTAACTCCAGTTCCAGGAGATCGGACACCACCTTCTGGGCTCTGCAGGGCATTGCACACATGGTGCACTTACATACAGACAGGCAAACACTCATAAAATAAAAATATTAAAAAAAAAATTCTCAGCTCTTCTCAATTCTTTTTGAATTCCTTAAAAAGAGATAAAGGATGAAATTTATTGGATGAAGAAGGGGTAAGAGATTAAGACAAAGTAAAGGGTGCTGTTCAAAATCCATCTCAGGACTAGAGATGTAGCTTGGTGGGAGTGTTTGCCTAATGTGCATGAGGTTCTGGACACTCCACCATCACCTAGAATGTAGGCTCTGTGAACACAGACCTGTGGCCAGTTCAGACATGTTGAAATCTACAAATCAACCTTTGTAGGACATGTTGATAGAGAATACTGAAGCAGGATATGGTTTTGAGAATAGTCACCTTTTAAATAATGTAATAACCAATTTAAGTTAAATTGATTCTAGTTCAACATTTTATTAAATTTCCTTACCATATCTTAAAAGAAAAAAGCAAAATTCATTTGGGAAAGTACCTCACTTATACGTATTCTTTCTCTTTAAAACTCTGGGCCTTTGCCCCAAGATAATCGGGCACCTGGAATTGTTGCTTAGATAACCTACAAAATTAGCAGTCAAGTTGATGCTTTAACCTGTTGACATTTAATATTTTCTTCAGAGAAAGTAGAAAGGGCATAGTTTGATGTGTTCGACAACAGAAAACAACTGAAAAAAATGTGTACTCTTTATTTTTGAGCTCAGAGGTGAGGAACTGCAGTTTGAAATTCATGCCCTGTTAGATCTCATGATGTTCTCCACAACTGTTGCAATGTAGGGACTTGGGCTGCTGCTGCAGGGAATGCCTTTGAGAGACAGACTATACAACAGAACAAATATGAGACCTGTATTTTACACTTCAGAATAAAATAAGTTTGGGTGTTGGTTATGTGGGTGGTAACGGGACAAAATTGAGGTTGAAGACAAGTCGGGTTCAGAGGACTTCAACGGGTTTTGTGTGGCTTATAGTTTTGTCAGCATTAGTTTAGAAGTAACAGGAAGCATTCCCTGATTTCCTTTTTCTTTTTTTAAACAGTTTTTTTTTTTTTTTGGTCTTTTTGAGACAGGGTCTCCCTGTAGCCCCAGCTGTTCTGAAACTTACTATGTAGACAAGGCTAGCCTTGAACTCACAGAGATCCACTGCCTCTGCCTCCCGAGTGCTGGGATTAAAGGTGTGCACCACCACTCCCAGCACAGTTTTTTATTTATTATTTTTATTTTATGTGTATGAGTGTATTGCCTGCATCTGTGTGAGTTCACCTGTGTCGTGCAATGCCACAGAGGTCAGAAGAGGGCTTCAGTCCCCTTAAC